ATTCTGTCCAAGGTCTGGTTCTGGTAGTAAAAGCAATTCATGCATGTGGGAGAACATCTGGAGATTTTAGAAAGCTGTAAAAAAGAAATGGGTGTGTTTACCTTATAAAATTGCTACCCAGAGAGAGCCCTTGCAAACATCTTGGAAATAATTTCCTTTCATATTTTTCTATACATATATGCATATACATTTTATTTTTTTATAAAATTGGGATGGTGTCAGCTATTTTTTTCTTGTTTCTTCCCCCCGACCCCTGTAGCATTTATCAGTTCTTTCACACTGTGAAAGGGTGGAAAGCACTCCATGTGATTCACTCCGGCTCTTTTGACCACAGCAAGCTACCTAAGAGCTGAGGCTTGAGCTCACCTTCCCTGCCTCTCTCTCTCCTGTCCCTTCTGCTCCCCTCCAACCAGATCCCCAGACGTGGGTTCCAAACATTGCCACCTGACCTGCCAGAGACCCTTCCAGACCTCCCTGCCCCTGGTATTAAAGTCTCCTCCCAAAGTTTATGGTCCCAGAAGTTTACTTTGAGAGCCCTAAAAAAAATCATTTCTCTCTGCACCAGAGGGCAAGAAAGCAAGGCAACATTTCATGGAGGCTGTGAGCTCAGCAATTAGAATCTGACAGAGCTGCTTTGGGGGCCAGACATCCCTCCTACCAGTCATAGAACCTTGGACCAGTTACAAAACTTATCTCACCTCTCAAAGGGACTTTGAGTGACAAGGGTATGATGGTTAGAAAATGCTTCGCCTGGTGCTGGGCACAGAGTAAGGGCTGATCAGCTACGGTGGGGGTGGCAGCCCCAGGGACTACTGCCACCTTTGGGGTCCCGGTGTGGTGGACAGTGAGGGGCCCCCCTGGGGGCATCACACTTCCACTCCTTAGAAGCCAGTGGACTTACAGCCACTCTTTGTGGGGGATCTTGCTAAGCCGAAACAGAAGGCTGCATCCCTAAGTAGATTTCTATATTAATTAAACTATGTCATCCAAGTTCTCCAACTGTTCCTGGTTTTATTATAAAGCCCAGACCCGTCTTCCCACAGCTAGGGTCCCTCAACCCTCCACTTTCAATGCATTGTGTGGGGTTCAGGCTACTCGCGCTTCCAAAAGCAAGGCCCAGGCATTAGAAACCCAAAGTGGATAGAGCACACAGAAGGGTCCCAGGACACCATCCAGAATGGACGGTTTTCAGAAGCCCGCCCCCTGTGTTTATAAGATAATGCGGAACACACAGTGAAATGATCCCTGATTTGGTCACACAGAAACCTAGCCAGAGACAGCCTGTGCTGGCCGCCACCTCCCACACCCCCAGGGGTAACTCCCTGCAGCCATGGGACCTCTCTATGCCCTGCATCTGCATTGCCCAGGGGTCCTAGGTGATCTTCCCTCCTTCCTGGAGAAAGGCAGTGGCACGGTCCCCGGGAAAGGACAGCAGACATCGGCACCAAAGTCAGGAGAGGTAGGTGTGCCTCCTGCTGCCCTACCCCACACCTTTCCAGCTCTCCCAGTGTGAACAGATGAGCTCACAGCTGACCTCCACACCAAGAAGGGGGAGGGGCATGTCGGCCTCCCAGGGAGGTGGGGGTGGGAGGCAATTGCCCACCAGAGGATGGAACCCATGGGAACAGCCTTCCCTTGACCCTGAAGAAGATGAAGTCAGGGTTTGGATTCTGCCATGGGACCTGAGAAGAAAAGTGATGATCGTCCTTCTAATAATTGTCTTCAAAAACTCGCCGAGTCTTGATTCCTAGAATTAAAAGGGACTAAGCGGCTCTGTCTTTGGAGACCATCTTTTTCGCTCCTCTCATTTTTCAGAAGAGTCAACTTAGGCCCAAGTTCACAGAAAGAAAACAGGATTGGTCTGAAGACTCGGGGGAAGCTAAGAGGCAAATACCAGCTCTGATCCCTGACATCACGAGGGAAAGGGAGAAAGAAACCAAGTATTCTGATCTAATGTTAATTAACTCATTTCTCTTTTGCCCTTTCTTTATTGTTCCTAGAAGCAATTATGTGTCTCCTACCCTCTCTCCCAACTCTAGCCCCTGCATAAAACTGTCACAGATTAAATCAGATTCCTCACAGCCATTTCATTAGGGAGACTCTGGCTCTTGGTCTCCGGGGGCATTTTTACTCTGCTCAAATGAAAGCCTCTCGCAGATAAGTTAACTCCTTCCTGAAAGCGCAGGAAGCCAGCAAGCAGACCACTCAGGGCTGCCAAGACCTTTCTCTGAACAGCGCGGGATACGGTGGGCTGGCGCGTGCGTGCTGACCCGAGACCAGAGAGACGAGAGTGCGAGGAACAGGGCAGAGGCAGTGTGTCAGACCTTGCGCGTGTCACCACCCTGGGTATGTTTCTTTTCTTGGATGGGACTCAGTTTTCCCACCTGCAAAATGCAAACCTCGAGACTTTCTTTTTCCCGTTCCCAATGCCACGAATTCCCCCAAATCACACACGCGGGCTTGAGAAGAGTTACAAAGTTGTTGGGAGGGACTGAAGTCAGAATTCACTTGGATGGATAACAAGGTCTTCTTTCCCCGTGACTTTTCTGGAGCTGTGGCATGAAGGAAGGAAAGAGTGGGAGGTGAAGGCTGGAGGCTGTGGTCCAGAAGGGGCTCTGAAGGGGAAGGCGGAGCGGGAGGGCCGGGCCGGTGGGATGTCTGCGAGCTGGGGGTTGACACCCAACATGCAGCCGGGGTTCAAGGTACAATCCCTGGTGATTAACTGATGCTCCGTGCAAATGTCAGGCTGCAAGGAGCAGAAAGGCACAGCTGGGGAGTCAAGTGACTGTGCGGTGCACTGTGGCATGGGGACACCTGGGAGAGGAAAGGGACGAGGACAGCAGGCATGTTTCAGAGTCAGCCCCAGACAGGATGCCTGCGAAGACCTCTCCCCAGCCTGTCCTGAGCGCTTTCTCCAGGCCTTGGTAATGACACTCAGGGAAGCTAAAGATCTGGGGTGACTGAGGGGCTCCAGAAAGCATGGGGAGCATAACGGGGGCGGCAGAGGTCTCTGCAGGACATCTCTGCACAGCACACAGGGTCACGGCTCTGTGGTGGGGGATAGCCAGCTCCTCAGAGTCAGAGGTGACTTTCTTTGCTCCTTCCCTCGACCTAAGGTGGGGCCTCAGAGGTGGCACGCCGTCCTGGTCTGGTGGGTGGGACCACAGGGGCCTGCCTTTCTCCAGGTGCTGGCTCAGGGCCCAGGACCTAGCTGCAGGCAATGAGGCTCCCAGCCCCTCCACTGGCGTGGTTTTTTGAGGACTTTTTAGGAGCACATTTTCTTGAGTGCCTACACCAGCCAAGGAGCTGGGGACAAGGGGCGATGTTGTTGAAACCTACCTGGCTTGCAGGAAGGGCCCTGCCAAGGTCAGAGGCATCCCTTCAGCTATATGGGGCCAAGGGAGAGGGGGGTGAGATGGGGAAACGAGGGGCTTCTATCCAGAGGGGTAACACCCTGGAACCATCTCTGTCATTCTCAGTGGACAGGATAAGAAGATGGGGTTTTTAACCTTGGATGCGGGGATCCGTTCCAGCCACACTTTCTGTGGTGCATTTTGGGCTTACAGTTCATGCAAGCTTGTAATTATCTTAGGAAGAGCATGATTCTAAATGAACTCTTTATGTAAATATTTAAAATATATTAACTTTCTAGCAAAACGAAGTTTGGCTTTTCTCGTTTCCTGGTACAGGAAGGATCCCACCGCCCCGCCTCTTCCTTGATAAATTAGGAGGTGATACAGACCTCCCTCAGTCTCTGGAAGGCCTTACTGGGAGCACAGATGTTTCCAGAATCCGATTATGCAGTGCATAGAGGAAGGATTTAAGACCAGGGTGGGGGTTGGGCCAACTTCTGGACCCTTTCAAGTTACTCAGTTCTCCACCCTAAACTGCAGACAAAGAAAGGGGGGGGTGTAAGTTTTTTGTTGGTGGGGACAAGGGCTGGTGGACCCTGCCCTTCCACGCTCCTCCTCACCCCCCCGCCTAACATAAAGGGCTCTATGGGTGGGGCCTTCTTCTCTGTGCTTCAAGGATCCCAGGAAGATACGTTTTCTGTAATTATCTAAGCTCCCTTCTAAAATGCTCACGAGGGCCCAGAATTTCAATGTTTATCATTACAGACAATCTGAAAATAGACTATAAATTGCAATCATTAACAGGGATTTTAGGCCAGGCCACGCATCTCAGTGCTTCTTGTGCTTTAACTGTTAATTCTGCAGCCACGACCCCCTGCCACAGTCAGGCAGAGGTCAGTAACGTGCCCAAGGTCACCACACTTGGACACGCAGACCAGTATGGAACAAACCGGAGGCTCAGCAGCAGCCGTTCAAATCCGTGCTGCGTGACCTTAGACGAGAGCTTACCCTCCTGGGGACTCAGTTGCCTTTACCGCGAAATGGGATGAAGGAGGCAGGGGCTAGACAATAATCAGAAATCCCAGCGGATGTGCAAATGGGGCGCGCCGTAAGCACGCGGCATTGGTGTGGAGTTTCCCTTCTTCACCATGGGTCAGAGCATGTGAAGAAACGTTCGCAGGAGAAAGTCGAGGCAGAAAGTACCCTCGGCTCAGCCCCCTCTGGCTGCCAAGCTGACATCTCCTTGGGGTTCAGGTGCTCCCAATTCCCCATGCATGGGGCTTGGGACGGGGTTCTGAGTGGGGTGGGGAGGGGCTGTGGCCCCTCTGAAACGCCCCTCACCTTGCACATGAGGCACCGCTGGCTGCTTTCCGCCAGCCGGGGTGCGGAGGAATGGAAACTTCTGCCACCAACAGCATTTGCTCGTAACTTCCCTCTCTGTGGTTTTCTCTGTCATTCCCTTGATAAAAGACCCAGGGCTGAGCAAATGTAACCAACATTCACGAATCTCAACTTCACATGAAAACACCCGCCCCTCGAGAAGTGAGCTGCTGAAAAATAATACACGATGTACTCTAAACTGGGTCATTCTTCACCCAGAGGGGTCGGTGCGTGGCTGACTTGCTGTGTGTATCCCCTGTGCCGTAGGCTTCAAGCATCTTTGACAGCCCAGGGAGACAGAGCGATGGGCAACAGCATGCGATCCACCCCAGCACCTCCAGAAAGGCCCGTGCCCAGCCCAGATGGTAAGTCTGGCTTCTTGGATCTTGGGTGTGATGCTTGATTCCACCGCTCAAGAGCCGTGGCCGAGACCCAGTGACCGGGTGCTGACAGCTGCTGAAACGGCTTGGGGTGCAGAGGTGCTCCTGGTACCCCCCCCTCTTGCCTGGCTTGTGGTGAACATTTCATGACTGCATGTTAAAAAAGACGGAGCAGCGGTGCCCTGAGCAGCTGCTGGCATTGTGGGGTGGAACTCCGAGAACCTCTCTCTCCACCTTTATTTGGCAGGTGGGGAAACTGAGGCTCATGAAGGCAGTGTGATTCGCTATGGGAAGAGTCAGATTTCTAACCGGGGCCGGGCTGATTCTGAGCCCCTGCTTCTTGCTTACCACACCCCGCCAGCCAGCCGCGATAGAATATGACAGTGGGTTTACTATTATCACATCTCTGCAGAAGCGTTTGCAGTGCAGCTAGATGAAGCTAGACACTAGCTCTAGGAACTCTTCCTGAAAAGAAAGGAATCCTGGGTCCCACTGGTAGGATCATAGGGCCAGCCGTCCTAGGGGGAGGGCACAAGGCCACGGGTTAGGCGGTGATGACAGAGGTCAGCTTCCCGCGGCGCTGCTGGGTGGAGGCAGACCCCTGAAGCCCAGGAGCCTTTTGGAGACTGTCCAGAGAGCCCTATGGGGACATTGGCAAGCAGAAGGCAAAGGCTGAGAATAAAGCCCATTTTACTCTGGGTGGGGTGGCGGCGCGCTCTCTGTGGGTCCTTGAGGGACTTGGGAAACGGATGATCAGGAGGTCAGGCAATCCATCTGTGACCCCAGGGTGAGTCCCCTTGGGACATTCCCACCTCCTATCTGAGGTCACGGTGCTGGTGCTTGGCCCCTTCTGCTAATGCCCTGAGTCCCCCGCGCCCCCTGCAGCCCCACACCCTGCACAATTTCCACACACAGACGTCCGCTGTGAGCGGACAGTGCTGGGCGCCCTGTCTCTACTTGCTCGTTCCTTCTCATTGCTTCCAGAACAGAGACGCCAGGTTACACAGGATCTCCTGATCCCTCCGAGGCTCCCAGGTGAGCCTGCAGAGACCCTGCAGGCCAACCCTTCTCTCCAGTCCCCAGGCAGGGCCACTCTAGCCTTTATCTGTTCCAATGCCCCTCCTTAGGCCTAAGAGGAAAAGACAAAAGAACGCTCTCCCTCCAGGTCAGAGGTTGGAACCCCTTCCCCTTCTGGTCAGGGATCCTTGTCGAAAGCACCCTGGGCCCAAGCCTGCTTGGGAGGCACGTACGTACACATGCACCCACCCACCCAGGCCATTTTGTACTGTGGTCTTCGCACCAGGGCGGTGGGGGGAGGGGGCATGCTTGAGCAAACCCCATGAAAACATGGGTCTCCAAGGGCTCGCTCATTTGCCTTTAGTTTTTGAATGCAAATTCTCTTGAAATAAGTTTCTCTTTTTCCACTGCGTGGGTGGTGGGAGGCAACCTCGAGAAAGGAGGTCGAGGGGTCTCCCCGGCCCTCCACCCCCTGGTGAAGAGAATTCCCCAGGTCGGACCCAGTATGCGGTCCAGGCAACCACATCAAGCACGAGCAGCAGCCTTTTCCATCCCCCACCCCTGAAAACTTTCCCTTGTGATCAGTCCTAACTTGATTTCCTCTTTTTTTTTTTTTTTTCCTGCCAACCACTGGAAGGAAGGAGAGGAAAGTGGTTGCAGTGGATGCTGCATTAATTAGTCTCTAGACAATCTCCACAGGGGTTTCAGGTTTTTCTGGAACAAGCACCTACTCAACTAACACTCATGCTTACTCAATAGGTCAGACTCCAACATCCAGGAAGTAGCGCGGGGAGCTGAGCGCTCTTGGCCCCATACAAGTGGAGCTTCCTCTGACGTTAGGCTGAGTGGCAGAGAATTCAAGTCACCAAAATCCCCAGGCCCTACCCAGGGATCAGCAGGAGGCCCGCCTGTACTGTAGACAGACACTTTCTCCGAGCTTTTAGGAGTGTATTGTCGCCCAGGCGGGGACGGAGAATGCCTTGGAATGTGGCTTTGTCCATCCTTTGGCTCCTAAATGAAGCTTTCTAGAACACTCCTGATTGCTCTAGTTCCTGGAGACTAATACCACAAAATCCACAGAAGTAGGAGGACTTGATAGGAATGGGGCAGGTCTCAGAGACAAACGACCTTGCTGAGCTTCTAGTCTTGCCCCTAGAAGTCATTTGACCTGGGGTAGGTCACTTGGCCTCCCAGAAGAAGAGTAGGGCTCAGCTCTCAAATGGATAATTCCCTTCTCACAGCAATGATAGCACAAAGTTATTATTAAATGTGGGGGGAATCACTTTTTTAAACTCCACTGGGAAGGTCACCCGATTGCACTAGGCTCTGTCTAAATGCCCATCCCCCCCAAAAAAAGTTTTAAAGCAGTCGAATTAGAGGTTCTGTGATTTGCTTCCCAATCATCCCAAGTAACTCATTTTCTCTACAATTCTATCCTTATTTCAAACTCTTGCTCTGAGCCAGACACAGACAGTACAGAATTGACTAGGACCTAGGGAACTCCCATGTAGCTGGGAAATGACATATTTCTACCTTAAAGACAATCTGAAGGTATAATTTCCCCTCCACCTTACCTTGTTCTTTTTTTTTTTTTTTCCACTCCTCACCTTTTATCACCCTGTCCTAAAGCAAGATCTTTAGGTTGTAATGCGAACTCAGACACTGCTCAAACCCCCTCTGTGCAAGCATGGGGATCACGCTAAGCTGGGTATTTACATAGCACCTAGGGGGCTGCCCATGGAAAGAAGAGATGGGAGGGGCTCTGAGGAGGAAGAAGGGGGCAGGGAGGTCTCGGGCCCAGCCTACACTTCTCAGTGAATGATTCTCAGACCACCTGCATCAGAGCCTCTGAAAGTTGTAAAAAAATGCAGATCGCTGGGCCCCACCTCAGGTCTACTCATCAGAATTTGATGAGGGTCGAGGGGAGCAACCCATGGAATTCCTTATAAGCCCCCTGGCTTAAGCCGAAAGGTCACATCCCCAGACTCAGCTTTTAGTGTTAACACCCAGTGAGAAATGAGAGAAGTCACTTTGTCTCCGTAGTGCCCCTCTGGTCTCACTTGTACAAGGGGATGATGAGAGTGACTCTGCTTATAACGTGCCAGACAAGTGCTCTACACACATCCACGCTCCGTCCTCCCAGCACCTGCAGGAAGTGATCGCTATCACAGACAGTCCAGGGCCCTGGGAGGGAATGTGCCTCAGGTCTCTGACTAGGTCCACCTTTCCCACCTGGGTCTTATTCATCCCACGTCTGGCCCGTAAGACGGTTCTAGGCAGAACGCGATCATTCATCTCTTTACACTGAACGTACAACTTCCGTAATGGAGACCATACAAAATACACCTCATCCCTCAAGCCATGATTTCACGGTGCCTAGAATGAAGCTAAAGATTTTTTTTTTTTAAGCAAATTAACATAAAGACATGGTTAAGTAAGTAAGTAGTAGTGCGGGTGGGTGTTCAGCAGCATGAGGGAGCAGGTGGCTGGGGTTAGAGGCTGCCCCTCTGCTGCTAGGTGACCGGGTTTTGAGACTGGGCCTTCGGCTTGCTACTGTGTGCTCCTGAGCTGGTCTCTCCACCTCACTGTGCCCTCTGAGAGCCTTGGGACCTATTCAGTCCCAATTTACCCCATCTCAGAGATGGGGCAGCCGAGTCGTGGGACAGGACAGAACTTGTGGACCGCCGTGTCTCACTTTTCCACCAACCATAGGGGACCCATGGGTACAACCTGTGGTTTGTGGGGATCAACAGAACTTGGTAGATCTCCTATCAGGCGAGTCCAACCAGCCCTCTCTGATTGGTTCATTGTGTGCATATATTTCCTCTAAAAGACGCTCAAAGCAAGGCCTGCTTTGGCCCTCTGGAGGCTGTGGATTTGGGCATGATTCCAGGGATTGCAGAACCGGAAGCTGAAAGCACTGGGTTGTTTAGCTCCTTGCCAACCAACTGCGCTCAGCTACCACTGCCAGCTTGGAAACCTCATCTGGAGTCAGCCTTTGTCCCAACCTGTCGAGGAGCAAGTGTTAACCAACCAGGGAGAGCCTGGTAATTACACGCCACGGAGAGCTCTGTGGCCTAGGGACATGACTGGGAGCTTAACAACCCTCATGCTCTCACTGCAGGTTACTGAAAACTCTCCCAGCCTTTGTTTCTCCATTTTTTAAATAAGATTGTGCACTCCCTAGGGTGGTGTGGAGCATTGGGAGTCCTGAAAGGCTGGTTTGGCTTGAGTTATAAATGAATCTACTGAAAGGTCTTTAGCATTTAAAAAGAAATGGTAATGATTCTATGAGGAATTATAATGCTTAAAAAGGCCTGTTCTCCTTTGACCAAGTAATATCTGTGGCTAGTAAATTCTGCCAGGGTCTCCTTCCTTTTTTGGATTCATTTCCCATTTTATACTTTTGGACAGTTTGTTCAATATGACGCATTTTCAGGTTGAGCCATCGGTAAATATTTGGTCTTCCAGATTCCATCTTCTGTTCCCCTCCAAACGGAGTTTGTATTTAGAAGAACAGAATATTTTCAAATTTACACATCCAGATGTTTTTCAAAATTTAGAACACCGTTGGCTGAAATTGGACTTGAGCTATGAACCCTAATCCCACCCATCCCATAAATGGTATTTAGCAAGCCTCCCATCCCCCATGGGGTGGGTTCTGTACACACGCGGCATCACGAATCCAACCCCAATTGTACAGGGTAGGTTTCGATATTTCTCGTTTTTATACATGAAGAAATCGAGCTCAGATTGGTTAAAAATAAATCTCTCCCCAAATCGCAGAACAATTAAGTGGTGGAGGTGGAATTGAAGCCAGGTCTGATTGATTCCAAAGCCCATTCTCTCTTCTGAAAATCCTCTCTGGATTTCTCGCCTGTGCACGGCACACTTCTTCACCCGCTTTGTTTCCTTATCTTAAATCCATGATAACCCCCTCTGTGCCTCTTCCCAAGAACGTCATTTATCTGATTAAATTCTCAGCTCTCCCCAGAACCCAGGGCTCCAGGAGGACCTGACAGTGTGCTTGAGCTCCATGAGTGAACCTGACTTTCCTGCTTTGGAAAGGAACTCTACCATAGGGGCCTGGCGAGACGGGTGCAGGGGTGGGCCTGGAATCCCTTGCAAAGGACCACACCAAGGCCATCATTTTTAAGCAAAAGCCCCACCGTGAGGCTTTCTCAGTGACATGGAAGTGTTTTATAGCTATAAAAACATCATTATTATGGAAATTCCACAGGAAGCTCCATGCTGTTATTGTGAAATTGAAACTCTCCAGCCCCTGAAGCCTCTTTCCACTATTGAAACAATTGTTTTGATAATGGGATCGTGTTTTTGTTTCTGTTTTTAAAGTAAGGAAAGGCAGTTGCTCTGTTTCTGAGTCTTCATGGTGAATAAGACATCAAAGCCCCAACCCCCACAGAGATACCAGGTCTATTTCAAGGTTCTGTGATGGCTGCAGATAGCTGAGCCTCTCCTCTAGCCTTGTTTTTCACAAGGAGCTGGTTCTGTGAAGACCGCCCACCATGCTGCTACCACAGATCAGGTTTCCTTCCCTTGGACTGCTTTAGGCAGCACGACAGGAGGAGCCCAGTAGCACAGAGATGTCTCCCTGGTTTCATTCCACAAATCTGCCCTGAGCATCTGAAATGGGAAAGCAGGTGCAGGAGGAGGGCTGGAGGACAACTCCTTATGGAGTTCACACTCATTCTCCCCACATCTTGCAAACTCCAGAATACAACCTGGGAAATCGCTTCAAAGGAAAAGCCGAGAGCCCCAGGTGGGGCATAAAGCAGGAGCACCAGACAAACCTCCCAGAGGGATGGGAGGGATGAGAAAGGGGAGAGCAGGTGCTATCCTGATAGAGGGAACAACCTGTCCGTGCTCTGAAGGTGGGGCATCCTGGCAAATTGAAAACATGACAGCTTGTCACACTGTTCCTGAGCAGTGGAGACCATATTAATAAGCGGCTCCTTCATATTTGGGGCCATTAGCCCAGATTTCCATCACAAAAGTGTCTTCCAACCCCTCGTTTTCCAGATTTAACGCAGGCCCCAGAGGGGCAGGATGCAGTGCACTCAGAGTGCAAAATCAAGCTCAGAATCGGGGCCACTTTACTGGGAAGCTGACCAAATCCTCTGTGTTAACGCCCCCTCCCCCCCCCTTCATGGGAACCACAGCTTCCTAGGGACTGCACCCGGTTTTGTATTTGCAATTTCTTTTTTGTCCTTTTTCTTAAAGAGGAGTTCCAAATTTGCATGAGCTTCATGCCTCACAAAATCTGGATACACCCTTTATCAGAACTCTGGACTGCTGGCTTCTAGCCCGATGGCAGCTCTGCCTCCTACTGTTGGGCTGGGGTCTGGGCTACAGGAGGAAAGAATCTTTTTTTTTTTTTTTTTTTTTTTTTTTTTCTTTTTAATCCAGCAACGCAGAATGGGAGGGAGGTGTCCCTGCAGGCTCCAGGGAACCACCACTGGGTCAATTGTTCCCTGGCCAGGCCTGACTCCTTTCAGTGACTGCAGCCAGCACAAATCACTTTTGGTTTCCATTTCATGCCTGACAATACTTGCTTTTATCTGCTTTATTGTCTGTGGCTCAGCTTCCCCAAATGAAGAATATCTCTGAATGTGCTGTTCCATGGTGACAAGTGGCTTCTGATTCATTCTGATGCATGTTACTACTAAAGCTGTCTTTGGGTTTCCTCTGTCTGGGCACTGGTGAGTCACAGAGTCCCAGATATAGGAGTTGTAAGGGGGTGGGGTCTAGAAGTCCCAGCACGGGGGTGTCTGGATCCCAGAAAGTGGACAGTTTGGGCCAGCAAACCTGCCATATCGAAGTGCTGGGATTTCTCCTGGTTTTCCTGGGGTGAAGAGGGCAGGTGATGACCCCTCCCATGGTTATTTATGGATTCTCTAGAATGTGAGCTCCATTGGAGCATAGAGACTTGGCTTGCTTTGTTCACCATGTTTGGCCCAGTGTAGGTGCTCAGGGAACAACTGCTGAGTGAATGAATACATGGAAAGTCACCCAGAATTCTGAGTTCAGATGCCCAGTCAGCAGATAGAGGGTAAACCCAATGTCATAGCAAATAGATACAGAATTGGCCCACTCATAAAGTATATTATTTCCCCAAAACTATACCCCAATATTACCCTGCATCTAATGTACCCAAGTTCCAGCAAACTGCTAAGGCCAGATAAAACAGGATTTTGCTTAGTGCCAAAAAGTGAATTCACATGTGATCACTCCTTCTCTAGCTGACATAACCGGATCACATAAACCGGACAGCATGCTTTCTTTTTCCAAAACGTCACCAGAATTCCTTTCAATGTACATATGATGAAAAGTAGTTACTTTTTCTCCTACTTCCACCCCAAAGTCCCTATTGAATAGACCCACGGTGCAGGGCCTCATATTCTACAAGGAAGAAGTGCTTTGTGGAGTTTCAGAATTACAGTCTTTGAGTCCTCGTGTATTCTCAGAACTCATGTAGCCCAACCGTGATACCCCTATCCCAGTAGGTGACAGATGGGGACTCACAAGCCCCAGGGAGTATAATAATAAAAGATGCTTTTATGGCCCCTTATCATTCATAGGGCACTGCAGCATACTTTCATCTCATCTCCATATGGACCCTGCAGTGAGGTAGTGTTAGCCCCACTTTAAAGATGGGGAAGTTGAGGCTACTAGACATTTGGGGACTTGCCCAAGATTACAGGGATCAGTAGACACAGAGGCAAACCTCGAAGCCAGATCTTGTGACTTCAGCTCAAGGACCTCAGGATCCCCACTTCTCAGCGGAGAATGTCAGGGCAAAGGCGGGCTTCAAATAGAAGGAGTTCACCAACCTTGGGGTTCCTTTGATCTCCCTGTGTCACCATCCTGAGCAGAGGAGGGTCTGCTATAAACTGCTGTTCTAAAGCAAGTCATGTGTCTCCAGCTAAGAAGTCCGCGGGAGGGACTGATCATGACCCTCCTCTCCCCGGGGTCAGTTGCCTTTCAGTTCCCTGTGAAAGAGAACATGCCTTGCGTTTGTTTCCCCAGGACTGGACAGTGACTTCCTGGCGGTGCTGAGTGATTACCCATCTCCTGACATCAGCCCCCCCATATTCCGTCGAGGGGAGAAACTACGAGTGATTTCTGAGTGAGTCCCTTTCCAAATGTTTCATAGTCCTTTCAAAAGGGTGAACTTGAATTGAGTAGGAATCATTAGATTTTAGCTATAGTTGTCCAACTCCACTTGGGCTCTGGTCCTATTGTCAGGTAAGAAATTTGGTCCATACAATAGATCCTGGGCTTAAATCTTAATACTACCAGTGGTCTACAATCTTCAGTGGCTCCCCATTGCCTGGTGGGTTAAATTTAAATTCCTTAACTTGGCTTTTAAGACCCTTTATGGTCCAAATTCTGCTTCTCACGCTGGTCTCATCTTCGACCCATGCAGTGTTGATATTATAGACCAATGTGGTGGTGGCTCAGGCAGGAGGACCCAGGGGTTTGAGAAAGCTTCTGATGATAAACAAAGTATTGCCTTCCATCTGCCACCTCTCTATGACACAAAATGGGCTATAGAACAAACAAGGGGCTCTCAGCCCCTTTTATTTAGATTCTCACTGATGAAGAAAAACTATCTTGGTTATATTGCCAGGTGCAATTTTGCACAGTAAACATTTGGTTTTAAAAACTCTCCAATTCTGTCACATTCTCTGTGGATCCCCAAAAGATGGCCAGTGCCAGCTACATGGGAAGGGCTCCGGTTATCCTGCAATGAGAACTATACTTAAAAACTGTAGTTTTATATGGGGAAATGTGGCCAATGGTGGGTTGGAAAAAGAAACGGCCCCTCGTGCCCCGGGTTAAATCTGATTGTTCTGTTCATGGGTTCGGTTTGCCACTCCCCCAACCACCCTCCCTATCTGTTCTTGTTCTTCCAGCGAAGGGGGCTGGTGGAAAGCCATTTCCCTTAGCACTGGCCGAGAGAGTTACATCCCTGGAATATGTGTGGCCAGAGTTTACCACGGGTGAGTACACTTCTGAAATGGCACCTGTGAAGTATGATATTGACGCTACTGACACGTGAGCACACACAGAGGGATCCCAGCGTGACACAGTGGGAAGGAACTTTCAAGACAGTCGCTCTTTTGCTCAGTCCGTAAGGAAGGGTGTCACCTTGAAGAACCCTTGCCCTATCTGAAACCTGGTTTCCCCAACAGAAAGATAAGAGAGCTGGACCTTCCCGTCCAATGCTGCATTCCTGGCATGTAGCAATAAGCGGTCATCAACTGTGATTAAAGGGGCACAGCTGCTAAAAGTGAGCCTGTCTTGGTTGCAATCTTGCCTCTGTCCCCTGCAGGCCGTGCGGCAGTGGTCAAGTTCCTCAACAGCTCTGCCTCAGCTTCCTTTCTTTATCTGTCAGGCAGAGTTCACAATACAGAACGACAGGGGCGATGATAGATAGTAAGACCAAAGTACAGGGCTGTGAGGACAATGAGATGAGGTAACACACGAATAGTTCTTGGAACGATGCCAGGCATTAGAGTAAGCGCTCGGAACATCTTAGCCAGATTCTTATCAAATCCTATCCAGAACACAGAGAACACTGACTGCCCCAAACACTTAAGTACCCAACTTGACAAATGGAGAAGTCAGGCAGAAAAAAAGAAATTTGAAAGAATAAGGCATGGCAGAGGAGTAGACAAGCACACTGCCTTCCTCTGAGGGTGTGCGGACTGTGGGTGCTTTGGAGACCAGTACTCTGAGCTGGAATACACATAGCTTGGCTCATTGAGCTCCATGGTAGGAGCCCCCCATGAGGGGGTTTGCCAAGGCAGACCTCGGCATTCAAGAAGGAAGAAAGAAAAGCATATTTTTTTATTTGGGGGGTTCTAGAAATAACCTCTTTACACACTCACACCTGCTGTCACAGAGATAACTGCCTGCTTATTTTGCAGAACGTAACTCTCTGCATTTAATTGCAATGCACGGATTATGATTATGAATACCAAAAGCCATTTCTGAGCCAAGGATGATGAAGGGGAACAGAGGTGGTGGGACAAGAGTGGCTGTGACAGCCGTGGTCTGAAAGAGGTGTCGGTCACATAACTCTTCCAAGTCAGCTGCGTGTCACTGACCAATGCATTCACTTAGCAAACATGCATCAACACTTTCATGTTGAAGGTGTGGGGCTGCGTGCTGGCCACGGCTTGGTGGTGGGGAGCCTGGAGGAGTGGATGTAATCACAGCCCACTGAAGCTTCCAGTCTAGTAGGTGTCTTTCAAATGTCGACCAGGAAGAGAGGCGGTGCAGGAGAACGGCTATGGAATTCGAGGTCCAAGAAAAATGCGCTGCAAGTCTAACTTTACCATTTGCTGACATGCTGTAACTTGAGAACATTACTTATTCACTCTGACCCTCAGTATCCTCATCAGTGAAAGGGAGACAAGACTACCTGTCTCGGGGGTGTCTGTGAGGATCTAACTTCAATGCCCATAATATGCATGATGCTCATAATTCATATTCATGCATGGCTGTCTCTACTGTTTTTCTTGAATTCGTGTTTATGAGTGGAATTCCCTAGAAGGATTGGGGAGAATGAAAATTTGTCACAGACACTAAGATAATTAATATGCAGATGTTGTGCAGAACTAAGAGGGTAGTTAAAATATTAGGCCGAATCACGATCTTAATAACAAAAGCGCTCTTGGAGGCCAGTAAATAAATAAACAGTATCCCATTATAAATCTATGGTCTTATCACTGTCTCACAGCCACAGTGCCAAAAGGACTCGCTTACGTGCCTTGGGGGATGCAGAAGGATGCAATGGGACAAAGCGTTAGTATTTGTCACAGTGTGCACTAGTTCAGACCCATGGATTAGAAGCCAAGGTTCAACCCCTAAAATACGGAGACTGTTTAAAATGAAGTATAATTGCTTCTGAATACACCCCAGCCAAGTGCTAACAAAGCATTTTCTTCCATGCTGGGATCTGGCCGGGGGCTGCTTTGCAAAATGAGAAAGCATCCATTTCCTTAGAACATAGATTCCTTTGTGCACGGAGCTGCTTTCAAAGGCGTATTCAAGAGTGTTGGCTGTCATATGGAAGGTGTACATTCTGTTGGAAAGCTGGACCACACTATTACAACTGCTTTTTTTTTTCTTTTTCTTTTTTTATGGTTAAGTGAAAAAAAAAAGCAAGAAACACATGTCAATGCATCGTGCAATGCAACTTTGTTTAAAATACGTTGAACAAGAGAAGACAGGAGGGAAATATAATTAATGCAAAGAGGGGCTTGTTAGGTTGGTGGAATTATGCATCACCATGTCTTTCTTATGCCCATTTAGTCATTCACAAATACACACCAGGCTTGATACTGTGGACACAAAGACGAAACCGAGACAGACAGACATAGTCGCTGTCTTCATGGGGTGGTGAGGGAGCAGTGGGGTGGTTAGAATACAAGGCAGAGACCTTGAACAAAATGCCAAACAGGCACCTTATCATGGTTTAGAATGCTTCTATGTCATATAATACAGAATGGGCACGGTCCGGCTGGCATTTGAGAGCAAGATGAAAAAGATGTTTTATGCAACTTTGTGGCCTCATGCAGTAGGCACTCGGGAATTTTATCTGAAAGATTTAAAGAAGGAAGGAAACAAGGAAGGAAGGAAGGATGGGAGGAAGGAAGGAAGGAAGGAAAGGCCAATTGCCCACTCCTTTTTAATCCCAACAGTTTTATACGAACTGGACCTTGTTCTGAATCTCAGCACCGCTTGCTTTTTTTGTTGTTGTTGTTAGCTTGTGATCACATGTTCAAAGGGGAGGGGGTGCGTGGAGCCCAGAGAGGGCAAGTGTCCTCTCTGAAGTCTTTCTAGTTGGCTGTGCAGCTAGAAGGAGGGTGTGCTCAGGATACTCATGCCTCCCTTCTCCTTCCCAGCTGGCTGTTTGAAGGGCTGGGCAGAGACAAGGCAGAGGAGCTGCTCCAGCTGCCAGACACGAAGATGGGCTCCTTCATGATCCGAGAGAGTGAGACGAAGAAAGGTGAGTGGCCTCCGACTCGCCTTTCCATGCCAGGGCTGAGAGGAGCAGGGAGGTTTGGGGCTGACTCATGACATGGCTCATTTTGCCTCCTCCCACACATGCAAACCCATCCGATCTGGTAAGATCCCTATAGCCCCCACACCCCCAGAGAGGCCAGCTTGGAAGCTAGAGGCCCAGAGCCAGGGAAAGTAATTCAGTGAAAACCAAAGATCCGGGCTCTGTGTCATGGTTCAGAGCAAGGGCTCTGAGTTCTAGTTTTGGCTGTTTGCACTACTGAGAAGACATCTGTCTCACTGAGCCCAGGCACCCTCTCCTAGAACGTGGGACTGACGCTCAGAAGGGGCTTCACATAGTACCTGGGATGTGGTAAGCACTTGAACTCACAGGAGCGAGATAGCAGCTCGGGCTTTCCCAGGCTGACTAAGAGTAACACCATGTGAAAAACAGAAGATACGTTCAGGTTCTTGGCTGCTTCTCGTAGCCTCGGTATCAAAGGAGAGAAAATGTACCTGAGACTGTCTCCCACACACCTACTGAGGGCCAGTGCATTGCAGAGCCGGAGCCCTTCACCAAAATGAGCAACGGCCTTACTGTGGAGAAGCAGGGACCATCTCTCTATGGTAAACAAAATTCAAGAACAACTTTTCTCACAAAAGCTCAAAGGTGCTAGGGGGGAACCAGATCAAAGCAAAGGTCACATTTCCTGGGCACATCCTCCCAGAGGTGGGAGACCCAGACTCAGACAGAACTTCGAAGCTGGCATGGCCAAGAGGGGGAAGAACCCAGCTTGAGATGCCAGAGCTGATCTAAAATTAAAGCTGCTGTCAGATCTGTGGCCAAGCCTGGGGCTGGGGGCAGGGTGGGGCTGGGGTGGGGCTGGGGATGGGATGGTGGGTGGCGGGCTCTGCTCCCTTGGGTAAGCAAAGTTCTGACAATTTTCCACCTGCCACCTTTGAGCTGCTCACCAGACTTCCCGTTCCTGTCACTGTGACAGGAGGATGCGTGATGGTCTTCAGAGGGCAGACTTGGGGCAAAGGTCGAATGCCATCAGGACGAGGGTCAGATCCCGAGCTCCAAGCCTTCAGCCATAGTGCTCAGGGGCTCTGAGCCTCGTTTCTGCAGCTATAACATATCTGGGGATAGCACTGGGAAGTAGCTTAGCCCCTGAGCAGCCCATGGGGACTGAAGAGACTCAGTAAAAGCTAATGTCCTACTCCTCTCACCGTCTGTTGAGTGTTTTCACTCCTGGAACCCAAAGGACAGAGCAGAAGGGACCTAGGTCCAAGTCTCCCACTTTCCAATTAGGGAAATCGAGGCTAGGAGAGGGGAAGGCGCTTGTCCAAAGTTCTGCTCTTCCTACCCCCCACTTCATCCCTACCTTTATGGCACTTAAGGAGAAACGGCATATTTGACATGTTTCTTGGGGATACCCAGAAAAAGTCTTAGCTGACACTTTCTCCACATTTCTGAGAAAACTAAGCATAAGGCATAACCAAGAGGGTGTAGGGACCAGGACGTGGTGGCTATCCAGACAAGGATAGCTTACCCAGAACGGTAAGCTCACAGAGCAAAGACTAAGCAGGTGCACTTGAAAATCCATGTGGCCAGCGGGTCAGGGCCACTAGAGGAGCACGCTCGTGGGGTCTCAGCAGAGGGAGTGTAGTCCCCGAAGGTGGGGTCCTAGGGGCCGCTCCTCCAAATGCGGGAGTGCACGTCTGGGTGTTCTGGTTGCATCCCAAGGCTGAGGAAGTCTCTCCACCTTGTGGGTTCTCCAGATGGCCGGCTGAGCCCTGTGGGACGCCTCTGACCCGTCCTCCATCTCCCACAGGTTTTTATTCCCTCTCGGTGAGACACAGGCAGGTGAAGCATTACCGCATCTTCCGCCTGCCGAACAACTGGTATTACATCTCCCCGAGGCTCACCTTCCAGTGCCTGGAGGACCTGGTGAATCACTATTCCGGTAAGAAGCACCCCACGGTGGCAGAGCAATGAAGCGTCTCTTGGCTAACTGTCCCGCAGTGCCTGTGTCTAGGATGGGCACGGGTCCCCGATACACGCCAGGTGGCTGACTTGGCTCTCACCCTGCTCCCTTCATCTGCTCTTTTCTTGTGAATGCAGACTACAGATTTCAAGCTAAAACAGGCTGCCTGCGAAGGCTGCGTAAGTAGGTAAAACTCAGCTCATCTCAAGCTCACTCTCTTTCTGCCTGCACATGGGAAGAAATAGGATGGTCCACTATTTGCAGCCACAAACAGTTGGCACTTCCTTAAGTGCACCACATGTTTATGGACCCCTGAGACTTTGTTGTGAAATGCCACTCATGTCCTCTCCTGCCTGGCAAAGCAACAGGAAGCCACCTCCTTGATCTGCATTAGGAGTCAGGATTGACTGCCTGGGTTCTCGGCTCCCATGCATGCCGGCTTTTCCCTAGAATGGGGTCTCTTTGCCTCATGACCCAGTGAGCTGTGTCCTAGTCTGGCTTTTCCAACAAGCTCTTAAGACCAGGGCTGCACTTTGTTTGTTTGGACATGTTTCCCCGGGCCCAGGAAGGAGGGCCCAGTGTTCTACGCTGGCCAGGATGGGGAGCACCCTCCGAGATGGCAGCAGTGGGGTGGGATTTGATGGAGGTGACAGGGAAGGATAGAGTCAGAAGAGGAGATCACAGTTAGACAGTGTCAGGCCTGAATGCCAGGTCAGGAGGTGACATCTTACCCCAGGTGAAAGGGAGACATAGTAAAAAGCTGGCTCTGGAACCTCGGCATTCACATCCCACATCTTCTGGGCAACCCTAGGCTCGTTGTTTGCCTTTGTGCCTTGGGGTGCGTGAAGAATCTGCTGGGTAGTGCCAGGAAAGTGCTGAAGGGAGGGCCAGACGCATAAAAGTGGGCTCCTTCTCACATTGGCCTCTGTCCCCCCAACCAGGACTCCTCCTTCCTCCTCCCTTCTCCTGCTACTGGCAGGAGGGGGAAAGAAGTTGCTCCATGGTGTACGTGTCTTCCCACTCCTGGTTCTGGACCTCGTAGCCCTGGGTATCTTTGCTAACATTCTAAAGCATGTGGGGTCTTGAAGGGTATTTCAAGGTGAAAGGAGCCCACAGGCCCTGGGTTATCACACTGGGCCAGTGAAAAGAAAGGGAGGGCGTGGAGGAGGAATGGCTTCTTAGGAGACAGAGGCTCAAGCTCGAATCTGGGCTCTGTGAGACCTTGGGAAAAGACTCCTATCTCTGAGAGCCGCAGCGCCCTGTTCGTGGAAGGTGGACGAGAACAACCCCTTGGCGTGGTTGCAATGACTGGATTGCTCATGTAACGTGTACCCTAACGTAATGTAATTACGGAATGGGGCAGATGCAAAGTAAGTGATAACCAAAGGTTACTTCTTTGATACCTGAAAACCTAGCAGCTTAGCTAAAAATGAAAGAGGAAGGGAGTCCTGGAGATAGTCAACTTTTACTGATTATGAGTAAAGGTTGGTTGTGGTACTTGGCTTTTAATAACAATCATCGGAGAGGTGGGGAGACCATAAGTTTTGCATAGACAAAAGCAAACATGAAAAGGTTGCTGCCCCAGCAAACACTGTACAGACTGGGAGACCCATGAGGCATCCAGGCTAAGAGTAGCCAAGTGGCTTGCCCCAGTGCAGGAGCAGTGTCTTCCAGAAATATGACCCTGGCCGCTGTGTCAGTGGCTTCCTGTGCCCCTAGGGACCCCGAAGGGAAAAAACATTCCTCCAGATTCTACCCAGAACCTCAGAATCAGAAAAATTGTGTGCTAAGGGTTTTGTACAGACATCTTAGTATTTCGGGTGGCTTATATTTACCTGGTGCCTTGGGAAAATTCATTAACAGCCTGGAGCCTCAGTTTCTTCATTTCTAAAATGGGGACGTCAGTCTGCATGCCTCTTAGGAGACTGTTGTTAGGACCAAACACAAAACTATGAGTGTAAAGGTCTTGCCCCTAAATTGTCCTGTGCATGGTGGTGACTGAGAAGACAGAGGGGATGGGACACAAGTCCCACAGATAGCCTGGATGTGGAGTGGTTGGGAAGCCAGGCGAATGAGAGGAATGAGCATTCCAGAAAATTCTACGGAGTGGAGAGACTGAAGGGAGTGTGTCCAGACCCCACAGGCAGATAGGACCTCGCTCTCCCCCATTTCAGAGGTAATGAGTCGTCTTTGAAACAAGTGTCTTGTTCTGAGTCAATGAAGCAGGTTTGGGTCACATTTCTGTGACCTTGAACAAGTGACTGGAGCCCAGGGTTCCTCCTTCCCTGAGTGGGTGTAACAACACCGCTGCTCAGACCTGCCCGGGGCACGCTGAGTTGAAGCCTGGGGGACTAGCTCAGGTCCGGCTCTAAAAGTGTCGGTTCTTATACTCTGTGGGGATTCTGACTTAGTGTCGGGGTTAACCGCTCACAAACCCTGCCCACTGTCCCCTGTCCCAGGTCCCTTCAGTCTGTGTCTGGTTCCCTCTCCCTCATCTCCTAACCTGAAAGGTTGTTTCAATTTCCAGCCCATGACAGGGCATTATTTCAGACACACATTCAGTTAAGAACCCCCAACCTCAGGGCCCAATCCTACGTTTCTTGGGCCTGGGTGGGTGGATATTGAGTTCACAGTGAAAGACAGAAACAAGGCATTATTGGTTGCCACCCTGCTAGCCTAGGTTTGTTTCTTCAGCCACAACGTCCTTTTGTTCCTTGGCAAGAGCACCCAGAGCTCCTAAATAACATGAGAGGCGGAGACAGCCAGAGGTAAACTCACTCCCTAAAACCTGGTGATGAATCAGCTCCCGGCCAGGGGCTCTGTCCTGCTGTAGGTCAGCAATGTTTCATACCCTTGGCCACTTCCTGTCCCCTGCACCAGGATCTGCAGCCTAAATGAGGCCCCACAGGATTTCCTCGGCCTATAATAATGTCTGAGGGGCACCTGGGTGGCTCAATCAGTGGGGTGTCTGCCTTTGGCTTGGGTCATGATCCCCAAGTCCCAGAATCCACCCCTGCATTGGGCTCCCTGCTCAGCAGGGGGTCTGCTTCTCACTCAGACCCTCTCCCATCTTGTGCTCTCTTGTTCTCTCACTCTCTGTCTCTCAAATAAATAAAATCTTAAAAATAAATGAATAAATAAATAAATAAATAAATGAATGAATAAATGAGCACAGCTAGACCAAGGCTTTCCCATAACCGCGGGGCATAGAGGCTAGAGCCTGATGCTGGTGGAGAGATGAGCGACCCTTGGGGGAAGGGGAGGGGAGAGCAATGGATTATTTAATTTTCATTCTCTCTGTGCATGAGCATCCAGGCTAGAGAAGAAAGATAGATCTTCATTTTTAACTTTTTCCACTTTCTCTTGTTTGCCTTTATCTTTGTCTTCTTCTTCCTTCTTTTCTGGTGTCTTTTGTTCTTTTGCAGTGTTTTTACTTCTTCTCCCTCCCTCCCTCCCCCCTTCCTTAATTCTTGCCCTCCTGCTTGCTTGCGCTTGCTCCTTCTTCCTTCCTGTCTTCCCTCCACCTGTGTTCTCTCCTTCTGTCTTCCTGCATGTGCATCAGCCGCCAGTGCAGGAAGAAGGGCTGATCGGTGGACTTGGACCCTGCCTTGCACCTGGTGCACTTGATGAAGCCAGGCAAGACCGTGAACCCTAGAGGCAGAGCTTCCTGCCGGCTGTTCTCACTTGCCTGTCCTCTCAGTGTACCGTCCAGGAAACTGAGGCTCGGAGAGGTTCAAGGGGATTCACTGTCAGGGGCATAGTTGAAATCCAAACCCCAGTATAGTTGATTCTGGATCCAATCTTAGCGCATTCCACCTGCCCCAAGCTAAGCACAGTGCATATTCAGGGCACTTAACATGTCTTAAACAACTGGGTTTGTGACTTGCCACACTGCCATGCCTCTTTCCTATCTCGGCCTCAGTTTCCCCTGTGAACAACCAGGGATCCCTACTGGATGGTTCTTCAGGCCCTATACCCCATGCTGGCTTGGGCATCCCGGAGTCACTGATCAGTTTTCTGCTTCCGTCCTTAGAGGTGGCTGACGGCCTGTGCTGTGTGCTGACCACACCCTGCCTAACTCAGAGCACAGCCACCCCCGCAGCGAGGGTCCCTGACTCGCCCGTCACCTTGCGCCAGAAGACCTTCGACTGGAAGAGGGTGCCCAGGTGGGATGTCTATGTGTGTGTTTGTGTGTGTGTGTGTGTCCTGCGTGGATGCACCCCCAAACCAGTGTGTGAGTCTGACAGCTGTAAACATAGCAGACTACAGCCTGGTCTGAGGAAAGCTCAACAGGGCATGCTGCAACCCACAGAATCCCTCTGTCCCCTGGGAGACCCTAACCCAGCTTCAGGCCTCACCGTCATTGCATTTTAGAGGGTATCTGTAATCAGGAGCTAGCGAGTTATCTTCAACACTGAGATCAGAAAATTGCCTTGGGAGATGAAGAAAACTGCTCTTCCTTGTAAAGGTCATAAAGAAATATTCGTTCAGATTTGCAGTTAGAACTTACAGCCATTCAAGGAAATGGTGATTCCGAGCGGTTAAGTGATTTCTCCAAGATCACTTGGCCATAATTGTAAGAAGCAGAATTAGAACAATAAGAGTGAGAAGTATTAACCTGGCTTTTCTTCTTCTTTTTTTCTTCTCCTGTTTTCTGGTTCTCCCTCTCTCTATGTCCCTCTCTTCTTTCCCCGACTGTCCCCATTCTTCCCACTCACAGATTGCAAGACGATGCCGAGGGAGCCAGGAACCCACTCGGTGTGGATGAGTCCCTTTTCAGCTATGGCCTTCGGGAAAGCATTGCTTCCTACCTGTCCCTGACCAGCGATGACAACACTTCCTTTGATCGAAAGAAGAAAAGCATGTCCTTGATATACAGCGGGAGCAAGAGGAAGAGCTCCTTCTTCTCGTCACCACCATATTTTGAAGACTAGCCTGAGAACAGACACCATCGTGTATACCCAAAATAACAAAGGTTGGAACTATCACCAGGGATCTGGTGGAAACGCGTGGTTTCCTGGTCCCTGGGGAACCACACATCTTCCAGAAGCCATGAGAAGGCACTTGGAGACTCAAATTCACATCTTCTCTGTCCACATCATGACAAAGGGAACCCCTCCCCAGTGTCTGATCAGTACCAAGACATCAGGAAACGTTGAATCACGACGTGATCAGGCAACGTTTCCAAAGAGCCCCGCGTATGTGTGTGTGCTCATTGTGTTTGTGGGAAAGATAAAGATATTATCTCACAAGAAAGGGCACAAGACCGTTCAACGAACCGTCCAGATGGTCACACTCTGGGCTCATCAGAGATAACTTCTGAACAAGAAAAGCCCGAGAAGAAGATGAACTGAACGCTGTGTCCTGGCCAGGCCAGATTTGCAAACGCGTCCCCCACAATGAACTTTTCTAGCCAATCCATAGAGACCTTTGGTATGCAGCTCCTTTCTTTTTAAGGGAACTCAGTGACACTAAGCGTTAATCTTCTTTATCATCCCTGAATCCGGAGAACCCGGTGGCCTGCTGGTGCCAGAGCCACATGCACAACAATCAGACAGCCTCCCTGCTCCGCAGAGGGCAAGGCAAAGGGGAGAGAGGGAGGCTGCTTATGGGAAATTGTGAGGGTAACCTTGGAGCAGTGCAAGCTTTCCTGGTGTCCCCAGCCGTGACTTTGTGGTGCAGAAAGAACTTCTCTGACACCCTGAGACTCTTACCAATAATGATGCATCAGTGGTTCACTCATGATTGCCTGAAGAGCTAAGTGTGTTAAGTCCCATGTCAGGTTGAAAGAAAGAAAGATCAGCAGAGGACTCATGGTGTAGACAGGGAGAAGTCTACAGACAAATATTGTGAAAGTGGGTTGTAGAAGGAGACATCAGCTCATGGCTCCAAGGGGACTGGGTCAGGCAAGGGTGGCCTGTGAGCTCCCGTCTCAGCTGCAGCTTCACAGAGGCTAAGTGCAGCTGGATTGAGTAGGAGAGGATGGTTGGCTTCTTTGAAAACTGCAAATTGATTAAGTTCTAGAGGATTAATTTATTTTTCTGCATCATCAGTACTTTATTCTAAGATGGGCCTGGCAGCCACACGAAGAAAACGGCTGAGCTCCAGGAAGGAAGGGAGGCAGAGTGGCTTTAATTCTGGCCTACTAATTTTAAGAGATGAAAGAGAAAGCACAGCAAAGTTCTAGAAAAGGAAAACTATTTATCTTGATGCCGCCCATCCGGATCTTGTTAAAAAGGGGGCTGCCAAGGCACCCAAGACTCATTTTCCACTGTTGCAGAGGGATTCAGGGGGGAGGTGTGCCTGTCGACCCCCTCGCTGCCTGATAGGAGATGTTTGCTCAGCACACACATTCCGGAGATCTGAGATCACCGTGCTGGTGGTATGTGTATATGCATTTACGTGATTCTTTGTATTATCAGACTCTGGTGTGTTTATACAAGAAGATATTCATGGTTTCCCCCAGGAATCCCTAAAGACCGTTGCAAGGGGCCAGCCAATGTGTGGGAAATGAATATAACACTGTGGACACTGACTTCCACCACAAGGCAGGGCGACCTTGCAAAAGCCAGATGTTTGTATGGTGTCTTATGCATTGTTTTCCGTTGTAACTAGTGTGCTGGGAACTTTGGGGGAGCACTCAGAGGCATTTCTAAGTGGGAAGCATTACACTTTGCTAAATCATGTATTTATTTCTGATTAAAATAATACCTAATAAATATTTAACCTTTAGCATGTGGGGAGAGCTTTCTGGGAAAGATGGGTGGGAGGCTCACTCGGGAGCATCTTTGTGTTTCGAATTTTCAGACAAACTTGCCCCTGGAGAGAGAAGAGAACAAGGAACACTAAGAAGAACCATGCCAGTTAGCCGCTCAGCTCTTCCTTGAAGTTTTCTTCCTTAGGAAAACTGAATTTGTGAATTCAGAGTATGTCTAATCAAACTTGAAGCTGGGCACACGGGATTGGGGAGAGAACAACTTCTTAGCGATTGCTATGAACATTCTACCTCACCCAGATAACTTCTGTGGACCACGTGTGATAGTTTTGCTTTCTGTTTTTCCAAGAATTGATTTCTACACATATTTTTTTGGACACCTACTAAATGCCAGACATGGCTCCAGGTGCTGGGGCTGTATCAGTGAAAATTAGGTGAGATCTCCGATATCACAGAGCTTGAGATTATAAATAAATAAGAAACTTTGTCACGGCAGGGAAGGTAGTGCAGAAAGTAACCCAGGCTCCTGGACCCAAGTGTGACTGGGCGAGAAGTCGTTTAGCCCGATGTCTGTTTAGGAAAATCCTCCCTGCCAGTGCATGCATTTCAGCTCCCATTTGGGCTGAGACCTAAAAGGTGAGCAGCAAACAGCCAGGCAAGTATCTAGAGGAAAACCAGAGGCAGTAGGGTTAACTGAGGCAATTCCTGTGGACAGGAGCAAGGCTGCCTGTGGGAGGAGCCAGAAGGGGCCCAGGGTGCCTGGGCTGAGTGAGCTGGAGCCAGGGGCAGGGGCTGTCAGGAGGGAGGTGGCTCCCGCAGGGTTCTGGATGGGAATGTCAGGAGGTTAAGGTGTATTCTAGGAGAAAGGCAAAGCCAATGGAAGGACCTAATTAAGGGAAGGATATCATTTCATCCATGTGTTTTATTTTTTTTATTTTTTTATTTTTTTTAAGAATTTTATTTATTTATTTGACAGAGGGAGATCACAAGTAGGCAGAGAGGCAGGCAGAGAGAGAGAGAGGGGGAAGCAGGCTCCCTGTTGAGCAGAGAGCCCGATGCGGAGCTCGATCCCAGGACCCTGAGACCATGACCCGAGCCGAAGGCAGAGGCTTTAACCCACTGAGCCACCCAGGTGCCCCCATCCATGTGTTTTAAAGAGCAGACTGGTTGCTATGAAGAGAAGAGATTTTAAAAATTCTGGTGTTGTATTATCTACTTGACACATAGTGAAAATTTGCAAGCTTTAAGACAAAAGAATGCAGGATTTCAAAATAAAGCGTTGGAACACTTTTTTGTGCAAAAATGAATGAAGGGCAAGTGTTGAATTTTGAGGCAAATGGAATTGATGGCAAAAATAAATTGTCTAAGGGGCAAAAGAGATATTACAAAAGGAATGAGACATTAAGAAGATATAATGACTGAGCCTCTGTTAATCTAACAATAGAGTTTCAAAATATATCAAGCAACTCTTGTAGGAACAAATAGATAAATGGGTCATTTTATTTGAAGATTTAAACACACGACTCTCAGAAACGGAGAGATCGGGGGTCGCTTGGGTGGCTCAGTGGGTTAAGCCTCTGCCTTCGGCTCAGGTCATGATCTCAGGGTCCTGGGATCAAGCCCTGCATCGGGCTCTCTGCTCGGCAGGGAGCTTGCTTCTCCCTCTCTCTCTCTGCCTGCCTCTCTGCCTACTTGTGATCTCTCTCTGTCAAATAAATAAATAAAATCTTTAAAAAAAAAAGAAAAAAAGAAACGGAGAGATCGAGCAAAAATAAGTAAATAGGTAGAGAGAAGAGTTCAATAACGCTGTACAACTTTTCTGCCAACCAAGGAAGGATATATTAGGTCACAGGGGAAATCCTAATAAATTTCTGAGTCAACCTTCTCCAACACAAGCTCCATAATGATCATGAAATAAAATTAGAAATCAGTTTGCAAAAGAATGGGTTAAAATCCTATGTATCTAAAATCTTTTAAAAGAAAAAAAAAAAGACATATCTCCTATGATTAAGAAGAACATAATACAAGCAATAATCAAAGACACAGAAATATAGGACATGTCGCTACTTCCCCCAATGTCCAGGGCAGAGCTGATACAACAGTAAGAGGGACATTTATTGCTCAAAACCCATTGACCAGAAAACAAAAAATGACAAGTGATAGCTCAGATTTCAACTCAAGAAGCTCACAGAACAGGTGATTGTCTAAGCAGCAAGGAGAGAGTAAAAGACGACAAAGGTAAACACGGATGAAAGAAGAGCTTTAAAAGTAAAGTCATAAAGAAGATTCAGAAAGCAAGAACTTGTGGAATAGTAAGATTGATATGATGAAGAAAAACAAGAGCAAGGAGGATCAAGTCCAAGGAAAAGAAAGGTTGATGAGCTGCAGGGATGCAAATGAGGGGAACCTCTGCCTCCCTCAGTCAGCAGGGCTGGCGCCTCTCCCTCCCTTCCCTCCCGCTGTCTGAGCTGTCCAGCCTCAGCCCTGCGGATGGGAACAAGGCCCTCTGACGGCAGAGAAACACCGAGAAAGAGCCCATGCCCCCAGAGATCATGAGACACTTTGGGAAATATGATGATAATAATGAAAAAAAAAAAGAAAAAGAGAGAGATAAAAAGAAACATATTTATTACTGAAGTTCCTTCAGTGGTGGATCTCTTTGTGAGAACGGCTGAGCATTTTTGTCCAAAGGAGATAGAAATCAGCCTGCCAACATGTACAGATAATGAAATAACATCAGAAAAGCCCTCAGAGTAGTACTGGGAGTAGTAAGAAGGCTCAGAAAATCTGGAGCTAAGTTTATTCCCCTATGCCAGTCCTGACCAGCTGGAAAGTTCAATAAAAAATAGGACATCATTCATAATGCCAACCGAACTAGGACACAGGAAGGGACTTGCCTACAGTGATGTTGCAAAATTTGGGGGGAGAGAAGTTCAAAACTCTATGAAAAGACCCAAGGAGACAAAAATCCTGCTCGTGGTTATGGTATCAACTGGACTCACGGGTATGAAACTTCACATCATAAAAACACAGATATTTTTTGAAATTCATGAAAAAATTCCACGAAGATACACTCAAATTCCCATCAGGACTATTTAAAGGCAATCAATATATGTATCTTAAAATCTAGATGAGAGCATTAGAGCCCATGAATAGCTCAGTTGATTCTGATTAAGAGAAACGGAGAAGAAAGTGCTCGCACTATGAAGTTTGTGTGAAAACAGGAGAAAAGAGTTCTTGGGCCCCTCCGTTAGTTTGACGGAACTCAGCACAGACATTGGTGCCATCTTCCACACAGAGCCCTGCTAAGCATTAAGGAAATTCTAAGATGAAAAGCTCACAGGCCCTGTCAAGCTTTCAGTCACAACAGAATTGGAATAAGATGTGCTAGAAAAACAGCCAGCATGGAAGACAAGGCAGGATTTCTAAAAATTGCTAAAGAGAAGTTTTTCTACTGAAATGAGAATCATTCTGTTTGAAGAGATGGAGACAGGCTTAGAGGGTGCCATTTCAACCAAGCCCTGAAGAAGGCAGTGGCTTTCCAAGTAGAGAAGCTCATATGCCGACCACAGCAGGGCAATGGAAAGATGTGGAAGAAGGCATGGCATTTTCTAGGAATGTTGGTACTAGGGAGCCTGGAGAGCAGGGTTCCTGCAGGAATGGAGCAAGAGAGGAGACAGGAAAATGTAGCTTGAGGCCAATTCATGAGGCCTGGCGCTCCCTCCGAGGAATGCAGAATTGAGGCAATTCTGTAGGAAGGCAATGGAAGCCTCTTCTGGATCCTACAAACCATACTGCGGGGGACACGACCTCCTCTGTCTTCTCTTAAAACTATCCAGGGCATCAGAGTCACAGAGTGTAGGTTCGCGATAGGTCGCCGCCTCTTTCTTCTTCAACCCAGGCCCTGGGGGCAGGTACAAATTCCCCTGACCTGTTTTGCTTTGGAGCTGC